TTCAAGGGCTTCGTGCATTCAGGCAAACACTCTTCCAACTCAGCTACCACCCCAGAAAAATTGGTAGTTGTTAAAATAACATTTTTTGTCTTCTAAGATTTGCTGTTTGCTATATATTTCAGTCAACTGGATAATATGATGTAAAGTTAAGTTTTAAGTTACTTAAAGATAGCAACCACAAAGTGAATTATTTAAAATTTTTAACATTTCCTTTCAGTAGGCAATATATAAAACACAGTATATTATATATATTCTAAGTGCACAATGGATGACTTTGTGTTGTAACGTACACAAATGACTTCCTTTGTTTGTAAACAACATACTAAATTCAGAAATTGTGAATCAAATTTCAGGTTCTTTTACTAAAATATTATTGAGCACCCTGTGAAGTGCATGCTTTGTAAATGCAAGCACACTTTCATTTCCCACTGATTGTAGTCCACAAATAAAAATTAGAGAAGTCACATGAGGTAGCAGAATAGGACAGTCTCATGATTATCTTCTGCTGTGCAGAAACACATCAATCTAAACAGTTATTGATGTGCAAAATACCTTCAGAAGATCTACAAAAAAAATACAATGACAGCCACTGTACGTGGTACTTGCATGAGAAATACCACACTAAAGAAAGGACTATTGTACATTACCCACAGTACAAATAGAAGGCACCCTGTCTATTTGGGGAAAATGGGGACGTGATCATAGAACTTGGCTTTGATGGCTCACACCAAGTCCACTACAGCAAAAAACAGGACTAGGGATATTCCCATGATCCCCAAATCCAGGTGAAAACCAACAGGCTGCTCTATTACCAGGCAGGAGCCCATAGCCCATAGTTGTGTCTCTGGCCTTCATTGCCAGCAACTGATTGCAGTAGTTCTGAGTTCTGCAACAGTCTCGGTAGTAGCCAGGCATCATCAGCTTAGGGCTTCATGTGTAATTAGCATTGCATAAGCTTTAGTGACTTCAGACTCCTCCTGGCACTGAACCAACCATGGTGCCCAAGATGGGAAGTGGATATCAAGATGACACTAAGATAGTCTCTTACTCCTGCTTGGATGGCTGGAGTCAGAGACAAAAGAAGTAGTATGCTCATGAGCGTATGGAAGAAAGAGCTCTTCTATGTCATTGATAGGATCATGCCATTGCCACTGTGCAAAATAGGATGTTGGGTCCTCAGAAAGTTCAAAAAGGGTCCACATGACCCATCAATTGAACTTGTTGGTATAGTTGTAGAAAATGAAACCCATATATAGAAAAGGCTCCTAGAATCCCCCTGTTTGCTGCATATAGTATCAAAAGTAATAATGTAAAAGTTCATCTAACAATGGATAAAATGCATGTACACATATTTGCACAATGGAAAACCATTCATTCATAAAAAGGGTGAATGTTTATCATTGTGCCTTGACATTGCAGTGGGGTACTCAAATTACTGATATTTTGTAATCCTGAAAATACTGAGCAAGTAACAAAATGACAAGTATGGAAGCATTTGGCATATATGGGCATTTGATAACTATATACATTTCACTATTTCCTAATGAGTAACTATTTCAATATACTGTATATAACAAGTCCCTATTATTTTGTAGGCAGTGTAGTGAAAATATAAAATGAAGTTATATGCACTGTATAGCTAGTTTTCATTCCTTATTTTGAATGGAGACAAGTATGTAATAGTGAGCTACGGCATATAAAGTTATAAATTGAGTCACATTTTAGTTGAAGCAGGTACTTCATTACATAAGAAATTATTGTGCAAATCCTCCTTGAAATGTGAGAGAGTGCTTTTTGCTCAGTATTGATGATTTCAACCTTCCTAATTTTTCATGTTCCTATAACATATATATCAGCATTTACCTGAGGCTGCTTCTTTAATTTCTCTCATTTTTTACTTAAATTCTATTTCACCTCTGTTATTTTATGATTACCCTTTGCTGTAAATGCAAATAATTGAGAAAATAAGTGCACAGCCATTAAAATGAAGTATTTGTGTACAGCTACCTATAAACCACATCGATAGTGACAGATATATCACATTCTGGGAAACTGCTCTATGTGGCTATAAATTCAGATTTTCATAATTTGATTTTCTAAAATGTAATTTTCATAGATGATAGCTCAGTGAGGGCAGAAGTCACACACATCTTGTATATCCATTTTTTTTTCCTCCAGCACATAGTTGTTGGCATATGACAGGTGTTAATTAAGTAATTAATATTAAATTAAATTAATGAAAGGGTTATATGTTTACATATAATTCTCTAAAGAGCTACATAATAATGGTTTAACAAGAAAATGCTCAAACTGTATGTGACAATATGCCATAGCAGCCTAAGTTTGTACCTCCAGTCTTGAGAGTGGGAAGAAATGTAATCAATAGCATTTCTATTAAATGTCAAAGACCCAAGGGGTGTGTTTGGAGATGAAGGGGATGTGCCATGGGTGCTGAGATGTAAATAAAGGGGAGTGGGAGGCTGCATGTAGGAGTGCACTTGGCGACTAGAAAAGGAATGATGAGAGGAGAGACATCTGTAAATAAATACCCACCTCATGGGGCAAGCAGTCCTTACAGCCATGGTAAGTCAGGGCTGAAGGAGGAATGAAGGACGGCATAGGCAGTTGGGAGCATGCTGTGGTCACAGATGCTCCATTGTATCCATAGTTTTGGACAATGACTCTTTCTAAGAGCTCAGTTTTCCCTGAGTGACTCTCAACCTCTCCCCCCACCCCCACCCCCCACCTTCTTCAAATGAACATCACTTCTGAGACTTAATTATCAACCTGTTTTCTTCCTCTGTACTCTTAAGAACTGGCATAATTTTCCACGCCAGTTCTATTACAAGAAAAGGCCAGTTAATGCTGAAGTAAATGCAACACACGGTCTCCTTTGTAACCGAAAGTTCCTCTTGGCTGGGGAAGCCCTGAATTGCAAAGATGTTTTTTTCTAAAACCTGCAGGCCTAGGTGGATGCATGGCAGGAAGGTAATAGTTAGCTGATTTGGCCATCAACCCTTATTTTGCTGGTAGAAATTACTGGCGGCAGTAACTGATTCCTGGGTAAAGGAACTGCTGAGGTAAACATGCTCTATTCCCAAAACAATGCTAAAATATTACAATGGTATGAAACGTCTACTGCTGGCCTATTAACTCATCAATCTGAGAGGATGTCTTACATTTAGTTTCACTGAAGGATTCTTATGCAGTAGCAAATGAGACAGGGCTTAATTCTCTGGTTGTATTCCCAACTTTATCCCTTTCAAACTTGAGCAGCAGAACTAGGCCTGGTGCTGTCCTGTTGGCTCCCGGCACTCAGCAGGCAGAGACAGGAAGATCACAAGTTTAAGGCTAGTCTGGACTATGTCACATAGCTCTAGCCAGTCTGGGATATCAGGCCAAAGCCAAACAAATAAATAAACTTTAAATGAGCAGAAGAAAAGGGGAATATGTGAAAAGATGAGAGTGCTGCCTGGGGATAGAGTAGGATGCCTAGGATGCTAAAGGCCCTGGGTTTGAGTCTCACCATCAAAACCCAAAGTAACAAAACTAGCATGTGCATCTGTGAGTTTGGCATTACTGAGACTGAGTGAGATAGATGTACATTTTGCCAACCAGAGTAGACGGGGAGGAAGGACTCAGAAGGTCACTTAGCCTTCCTTCCACAGGATGCACCCTCCTGCACCATCACACGATGCAACAACCCTGTGCCAGGAGCCTAGGAAACACATGGGGAGCCTGCCTGCCTCAGCAGGTGGAGTATTCCAGTATGGCATGAGGCTATCAAGCTGCAAGTAGTAGTTCTGTGTGGACATTTTCAGCAGCCACAGTGACATAGTGCTATTAGATCTCAGTCAGGCCAATGGAAAGTCAGGAGGGAGGAAGGAAATAAAAGTATGTTTTAAAGAAATCCCAAGGATCACTTTTCACCCCCTATAAACAAAAGAGGAGACCAGAGTATTGTGGGATTTTATCATTCATCAGCCTTAACAGAAAAGGGCTCACAACATTGGGAAAGACAATATACTTCTAATAGAAATCTGAGACTCAAGCTACATTTTCTGCCTAAGTCCCCTGGTCTGAAGGAACACACATATGAATGCCAGGCAATTGTGAACTGCCTGACCTTTGTTAAATCCTGTAACTTACATTGCCTTCAGTATTTTTGTGTGTTCAACATACTATTCACACAGCATGATTGTGTGTGTGTGTGTGTGTGTGTGTGTAGTTTGAAGTAATATAACTGCACAAGTGCCACAAATTCTTGAAAACATGCGTGACTGCTGTGGTCATATCTATTGAAGATGAGTTGTGTGTTTAGTCAGGATAGCGTATACTGATGATGATGATGGTGATGATGATGATGATGATGATGATGATGATGATGATGATGAAACCCTGAAGTCCCAATGGCTTAAAGCAACAAAAACATTATTTTCTTGCTCATATTATCTGCTCATCCCAGCCATTATGGAATGCACCCCAGCCTCTTCCTTCACAGACTCAGGTTGGTCTTGGAAGCCACTGGAAATTGCTAGTTGTTGTGATGTGGATTACATGTGAGTCACACACAGCACCCTAAAGCCTATGCCTGGAACTGCTACATATCAACACCCTACCCTGGGTGACCAAAGGAAATCACATGCCCATGCTTAACCTAAAGGAACTGGAAATCTGCCATCCTAGAGTGTGTCAATCTGAGCTGGGAAAATTTGGTGAAAAAAAAAATCATGGACTACCACCACTATAATTGGTTTTCACTTCACAGTGAAATAATTTGTAATCAAGAAGTCTTCTAGATGTTTCTCTGGTAACTAATAAATACGACTGCATTCTTTATTCACAGGTTTTGACTACCAAATGACAAAATTGATTTTATATTTTCTCAGTTTTGAGGTCTTCTGGCACTAAGAGTTATAGTAGCCTTATAGCTGAATGTTCTAGATTCTTTAAAAGGATAAACTGTATAAAATTCTACTTTTCTTTCATTGGTCAAACAGACATCGATGAGTGCTCTGATGGCTTTGTTCAGTGTGACAGCCGTGCCAACTGCATTAACCTGCCTGGATGGTACCACTGTGAGTGCAGAGATGGTTACCATGACAATGGGATGTTTGCACCAGGTGGAGAATCTTGTGAAGGTCAGTAAAAGAAGACATAGATGCTAAAACTTCTTCAAGTTGGAGAACCCAAAGTAAGATGTAAACAGTAGTGTAGGGGGAAATGCTGACCATGCCCTCTTGGGAGCTGACACAGGTGCTGATGTAGCAAGGCTTTAAATATTAGGGAAGCACGCATGCGGCCCTCTTTTCCCTCTCCTCCTGGCTGAACGGACTATTGTGTGAGTACTTTCATAATAAACTATCTGTGATCAATCTAGTTCTGACTCCATTGTGATCCACTTTAACTACTGTCAGGTGTAGGAGTTATTCAGAACCCACAGGTGGGTCATGACCTTTGGTGTGATTTATTCCCTTGCGGTTTTGGCGCCCTGGAAACCTTTCACCTTTCCCTTCCAACCCCCTTGCTGAGTGGCACTAATCGCCACAGAGCCTCTCCAGCACCTTTTGTGCTGGGATGAGCCTGCTGCAGCTGCAGCCACCTGGGGGTTTCATTCCTCCCAGGTCAGTCCCCCTGCCCAAGAGCAGTTTCTGCACCACACCTCCAAGCCCATTCCAGCCGGGCAGTGGTGCCGCATGCCGCCGTGATCTTTGGAGACCATACTGGTCTACAAGAACTAGTTCCAGGACAGCCTCCAAAGCCACAGAGATACCCTGCCTCTGCCTCCTGAGTGCTGGGACTAAAGGCATGTGCCACCACCAAGTGGGCATGGTCAGCATTTCCCCCTACACAGTAGACTTAGTGTTAATCCCCAAATCTCTGACATTTTTGCTATTTGTCAAAGGTGATTAGAAGTGTGTTAATAACCAATTTTGCCTCATAATTATGTTAATGTATTATGTATCAGATGTGTGACCCCAAATATCCTTTTAAAATACTACCCAGGGTTGAAAGATGTTTTAAAATGAAAAACCCATTTTACTGCATAAACTTTTAAAAATGGAAGCATTTAAAATCCTGACTTCCAAACAGGTGGAAAAATTAGATGAGGCAAACAAGAAAGTGGCGAACTAGGGCTTGATAAAACATGAGAATGAGGCAGCCATCGGGGCTATGCCATGTGTGCTGGGCTGGGCTGTTTCAGCAGCAGGATTGCCTGGCAGAGAAAGGCTGAATGTTGAGTGACGGATACCAGAGATATGGGTCTTGTTCTAAGAACTATGTGAGCTTATAGGACTGGAAAATTCAATCTGATTACATTCAGCAATTAGCCTTGAGTTTTGTTTTTGTTTTTGTTTTTTTGATGGACTGACAAAGAGCTCTACTATATTCCCTCTACTGACATGTGACTTTATGAACCAGGCAGAGCAAGTAGAGTGCCAGGGAAATGAGGACACTGAGTTTGCCCCCAGAATTCATGACACAGGAAGAAAACCCAAAGCTGTTTCTTCACTTGTTAAAATCTTTATAGGGCAATCACATGCAAGACTAAGGGTCTAGGATTCCCAGGGTAATCCTTCAAGAACCTAGCAGAGGTACTAGATGCCTAGGTATTAAAATATCTGCCATCCTTTGTACCCAGAAGGTTCTTGCAAGAAAAGTAAGACAGACTCATGTGGTGGGCTCAGGCTTCCAGAACACTGCAAGCAGCAACAGAAGGATCTCTAGACTGAAGCAGAAAACACATCCAGATTTCACATGGGGGCAGAGAACACATCCAGTGTCTTATCTTACTGGAGTAAGGGTCTGGACTTCTTACTCCTTTGAGGCCTACATCTCGACTGATCAGTGTCTGCACAAAAGAGAAAAGAGAGTGATTTCCTGCTTGTCCATGCTTATATTCTGATTCTGCCCAGCTATGTCACTTCCTGCCTGTCTGTACAGACCTCCAGACCTCTATGGTTAACTAGTGGCAGTTTCTGCTCAGTTATGTCACTTCCTGGAATCACATGACAACCCTTCTCTGCCTACACTTCCCAGTATCCTCCTTGTCTCCTAGTCCTACCTATCATCCTACCTGCCAAATCAGCATTTTATTCATCAACCAATAAGACAAGCATATACACCGAAGAACATTCCCCATCAAGGGACGGAAACCTAGTGTTAGCTAATAATCACTTAACATAGTACCAGTGCTTGACTTTGCAGCTGGGATTGCCCCACCATTGGCATTTCTAGCCTGTGCCAAATAAAGATGGGCTACTGTCTGTAGACAGATTAAGCTGCGATTTTCTTCACCTCCCCAAAAATACTTTGTTTATTCCATGATTCTGTGTTAAAATTGGCTTTTTTAAAGGTTATGCAAAAAAGGAGAAAGATGGCACTTTCTGCATTTGCAAAACACCCATGTCTGGCAGCTCATAACCGCCTATAACTTCACTGCTGGAGGACTGAATGCCTGTCCTCCATT